ATGAGGGCCCAGCCGAGGGAGCCGCGGGGGAGGATGGGGGCAGGGGCAGGGGCGCGGCGGAGGCGGGAAAGAGAGATGGTGGTGAGGAGGAGAGGGAGAAGGAGGAGGAGGAGGAGGAGGAGGAGAGGGGCCATGTGGGATGAGAGAGAGGTGGGGGAGTAGAGAGGGGTTATTTGAGGTGAATTTAATGTTTTGCGGGGGGAGTCTATGATTGTAAGGTGAAGAGTCAGGGAGGAGGCCGGCTGTTGATAGATGCTGGCCTCGTGCGCACATGTGAAGTCCTTTCAATAAAACTATTTGAGAACAACTTTTGTAGCCCTATCTCTCTCTCTCTCTCTCTCTTGCTTTGCTTGAAAACATAAATTTTTGAAGGGGATATTATTTATTAAGTTTAAATTTATTTATTTTTTAAAATTCAACTTAAAAAAAATTGATACCCCCATCATCAAGCAGCACATATCTCCAAGTATGCACCAATCTCTATATAATTTTTTTGATCAAGACGCATTTAAATTGGAAATAGAAGTCATCCACGGCCCCCAACTTTTGTCAATTTATTGCCAAATTGTCAATCCCGTCGAGACACACTCAATAATATTAAATTTAGTTAAATTCAAGTCAAATTAAGCTGAGTTCAAGCCATTTAATCACTCTAAAAAGCTTTTTAAATATATTTGAAAGATAAAACGAATGCCGTACCATGTAAGCTTACAGCCAAATCGAGCGTCTCGACAATAGGAGTCAAATGAGTTTAAGATCACTCAGTTTTGACATCATTGAGACACTCAAATATCCATCAAATATCATTGGATTTAGAGGATCTCTCTGGACCGTCCGATCAAAGTGATTTATATTTCAGCATTAATTACACCATGAGCTCTCTTAATTGAGCTCCACCCCTCTCATGGAAAAATAATTGCATACATACATCGCATGCAGAGATGCATCCGGTGTCTGATCTAACAGTAGATCACGGTGATCTACTGTTATGATGTATTTCGGTGGTCCCCACTTTCATTTTTTTTCTCAAAAAAAATTTTGATTGTATCCTGGCATGCATCTCTGTATGCGGTATATGTATGCAATAATTTTTCCCTCTCATGAGAGGGTGGAGAGTAGTTTGAGATCTAAAGAAGAGATTAAAACTTTGAGAAGGAACTAAAGTCTAACACCATCATCACGATCGACTATTGTCGACCACCAGTAACCTTCGTTGGCCACTACCGCTCGTCGTCGACTTTCATCGATCTTCATCGGCCACCACTGACCACCTTCGACCACCACTGACCTCCATCGACCACCGTTGATTATCATCGACCACTGTCAATCTCCATCGACCACTGCCGACAGTCATTGATTCCTGTCAACCGCCGTCGACCACCACCGATATGATGCTACCAATCGCTATCATTTGCCACCCGTTCTTAACAACAAATTCATCATGTAACTTTGGAAGCCTAGTAACCTTTGTGGGACAAGTGGTTATAACTTTAATCATTTTTTATAGTAAAACTCTTCAGGCCCCATGATTTTTTCTTTTCCGGATTTTCCACGTACAAACTTCTGTTATCATTATTAGTTGTTTTCTCCTTTTTTGAGTGTGTGTTGAATTTTCGAACGACATTAATATGATAATCTACTACTCAACTGCTGTGAATTTTCTAGCACATTTCAAAAATAATTACATAGAGGCCATCTGAAATATTGATATTTATAAATTAACCATCTAGATAATTATTTTGAACTATCAAATCAATGTATTTAAACGTGTCATGATTAAATTATTAAGAATTTTATTAAAATTAGAAATATGAGTGGGGGTCTTCACATGAATTTTGATATTTGAGAGAGAATTTGAAAATGGATGCAAGAAGGCGGTTGCTTCTAAAATACTAGGTTTTTGTTTCTTATCTGTGATTGCCCCTAAAAAAATCAATCCACTATCAATAAATTTCTCACCCAACATGAATTTTGAGGTATTGCACGAATCTCGAGATAATTTTTTAAAAATGAACATTCAAACTTCATTTGAAATTAATCTAACACTCAGATTTTAAAAAACTTATAGTCAAACTGACGGGCTCGACAACTGGAACTCAATAATGCCACAGTTGGTCCAATTCGAGGAAACTCAAGCTGAAATCAAGCCGAAATCAAGCCATTAAACCACTGTTGGAAGCTTTTAAGTGCCTAATCGCACTGCCAAAAATAGTTGCTTCTAGCAGCATAATTTTGCAGCAACCGTGCGTTTGAGTAAGATTCACGGATGGAGTTTCTGTTCTAATTTTACTAAATATTCTACAAGGAATTTGTTTGTTGCAAGATTGTTCTTTTTCATTCTAGGTAAGGTTTATGGATCGACACTTCCCTTTTGTTGCTTCTAAATGATTATGCAATTGACAGATATATAACTGACTACTCACACTTCGTTGGTTATTTTATTTTTTTCTTTTTATATGCTGCGTGATTTGTATTTTTTGAGGGTCTTCAAATATTGATTCTGAATGTTACCTGTGAAAAAATTGTGGCTTTTATATATAGTAGCTATGAATTGAGAAACAAACTCGACTAGAAATGACCGGAAGAGGGATCGAACATTGGCTAGAGACACAGGGAAACCATGGATGTTGATGACGAACACGAGCAAGAAACTGCGATTGAGGTTGCGGCCGTGGCCGCCGATCGAAGTTGTACATAGAGAAGGATTGAAGGATTATGCACACAAGCTGAAAAGATGTCAGAGAAGGTTAACAAGAAATAAGGAAGCATAATGGGGAGATGTGTTTAAAGTTATTCCCAATCTCAAACATAAGCACTTGTTCAAAGGCAAGTGGTTGATTGGAAAGACACAAAAAAAATTGTTCTTGGCAACAAAATTGTGGCTTTTAAGAGAATGAGATGAGTTATTACAAACCTGTGGTAGTCATTGTAGTTTATTCTGTTGGCGCTTGCCTTTAATTAATTTCAAATACATATGAAAAAAGTATTAGAGATTAGAGATAAGTAATTAAGAGAGATGAATTAATACAAACCTGTGTTGAAGTACCTTTACTAATTCATGTTGTTGGTTTTATTTTAGTGGTTTGAGTCTAATGTAATTGTTGAAAGCTTTTGCTTAGTCTCATCTAATGGATATTAACAATGGATGCATCATACAAATCCTCATACATTTCAAACATTTACCTATCTATGACCACCAATATATAAAACATATATAACATTGTGATCAAACATATTTGTGCCTCTCTTAATTTTACACTTGTTATGGGAAATTTACTTACATACTACACGATTCTTTGGTATTTACATATCAAATGTTTAAACTTTTATATTGACATTTATAACACTTTGGTGTGATAATACCATGCATGAAAAGGTGCATCTTTTTATATTGTTTGTGTCCCACTTATAATGAAGATGATTTCTATATGGAGTTTAACATAATCATCAAGCATGTTTATGTCTCTCTTAAAACATACCTTAAACAACGACTTAAACTACCACTATGGGTTCAACACTGTCTTGATGTTGCTTGATTCTATATCATGCAAAGTGAAGCATAATTTACAACCAAAGCTATGTTGAATGGACCAAAAACACAAACATGATTGTACTACAAAATGATATTGCGATAGCTTGGACTCTTATTTGTTGAGAAATTGGTTGTCTTGACTTAATAGACCTCACTATTTTTTTTCTCTAGTGCTGTGTTAGAATCTGAAGTAAATTAAAAACTTTTTTTTTGGTTTTTTGGTCTAAAGTGATTTATTATTTATTTTTCACCTTATTATGGTGTCAATCTATTTGAATACACCATAAATGAAGCTCTGGATATGTTACTATTTTTGAACTTAACAAATTTTAAATCAATTGCTATCTAGGGTTTATACTTGACTTTTTAACTTCAATTTGAATATGCAAATCCTGCACCTTTGACATATTCTTGTTTTTTCTGTTCATTTCCAGTGTTCATTTTGTTTCTAAAAGTTAAAAAAGAAAATGTTTTAAAAATCATAAATTTATTTAGCTCCATCATTTGATTGGATGAACTGTTATTTTTTACTGTTCTTGAAGCTATACAACATTTATCTATTTTAAATTACAAGTATGAAATTGTTAGAAGCATTGTAAAAGTGGAGTGGTATGCATGTACATATAATTATTATGTTTGGAGAAGTTTATATACTTATATATGACGAGAACTAACTGGATATTTTGCTAATTAATGTCTTTATGCTTTATGTAAGTCATATTTGAATTCCTTTCGACTAGTTGAATGCATTTCTGGGGCAAACAATCATATTTGAATTCTTTTGATTTTATACATGTCGACCTTACTTTGTGATGACCTCTTTTCTCTCGGTAGAAGCTTATGATCTAGCCTTTGGGTTTTTTAGTGACGTTCTTATAAGCCTATAAATCAAACTTACCAGCATAGAACTTCGAACCAATTCTACATTCACTTAGGGTTTCATGAGGTTAAACCCAAATCCTCAACTATTGTTTGAGATGATGAGGGCTGAGAATGGTAGGAGCCCAAGTTGAATTCTTGTAGGTGGAGGATGCCCTAAGTAACCCATGGAGCCTAGAGTCCTAGAAATCTCTGTGATGACCTACTGAACACCCCAAAACCCTCTTTGATCTAGAAGAAGCCCATTGGGCATGCGGCTGGTTCTAGGCTAGAGACGGGTTTAATAAACTAAAATAAGAAAATCCTAACATAAAAAAATTAAATCAAAGACAATTA